GTTGAAAAACTTCAGATGCAATATGAGGATAACGGGAGTTTAGCAGAGTATTACTTGCTTTCACGCTTCGACCTGGCCATTAGTTTTCGACGATATCATACCTTCTGATCTGTTTTGGAGACGAATACCTCAAGCGCTTCCCTAACAGTCTTCCCTAACACATCGGATGAGATGCTTCCCCAGTATAGCTTCGGAAAAAACTTCAAAATAATTGTAACAGGCAGAGAAGCATGGAAGGGAGGACCTCCAATAAATGCAAAGATTGCCTGTTACACAGATGGCTCAAAAACTGAAGAAGGTGTAGGAGCAGGAATCTATATAACTAAACCAAAGACAAAAGTCTCACTAAGCTTAGGTAAAAAGGTGACTATATTCCAGGCAGAAACGGCAGCAATACGTTACTGCACAGAAGAGTTACTAAGGCAAGAGTTTGAGGAATATACTATTGCAATATTCCCTGATAGCCAAGCAGCTATAAAAGCAATTAGCTCCATGTAGGTCAATTCCAAACTGGTCTGAAACTGCCTAGAAAAGCTACAAGAACTAGGTAGTCAAAACAGACTGTCATTAGCCTGGGTACCAGGCCACACAGGATACAAGGGCAACGAAGAGGCTGATTCACTAGCACGAGAAGGAGCACGATGCTCTCCCATTGGCCCAGAACCCTTTTGTGGTACAGCAAAAGCGCTGCGAAAAACTTGTAACAGCCACTGGAAGGAAAAACAATCTTAAAAATGGTGGAATAAGGCGCCGGGTATGAGACAGGCCAAAGAGTTCATTAAAGAGTCATCGCCAAAATTCACGGAGTACCTACTAAGTCTGAATAGGCGATCAACTAGAGTTCTGGTCGAGCTATTGACGGGACACTGTAGACTCAACAAACACATGAACAACATCGGACTGGCAGACACAGCCCTATGCAAGTTTTGCCAAAAGGATGAGGAAACCTCCGTACACATACTATGCTATTGCGAAGGTCTGTCACGGATAAGATTTGCAACATTAGGGGAGGAAAAACCACAACCCTCTCAATATATGGGGAATTTGAGGTCTGGCCTATGGAGTCTAGTTACAAGGACGGGCCTAGACAAGGAACTCTAGCATACATGAGGGCACACACAATAGACCTGCAAAGGTCGCAGTGTAGTGACTGTTCAGCACAGAAACCCCATATTATTCTAATCTAATAGTCTTAACTTTCTCAAAGATTTCAAGTTAAGGAGGAGGTGTGAGGAAGGGCCAGATATTCTCAATAAAATCGGCACGATGCATGCCCAACTTCAGTTGCTCCTCAAAGACGTCGCTTATCGGTGTACTAGCAAAGTTGGCCCTTCTGTATACATATCACTTATTTTTGTCATATAATCTTCCACTCATCTTTTGAATCATTGCCCGTAGCAAAGTCAACAGGAGGTTTTCCATCCAAATCTATTAACTCCAACTTATAATCATTGAGACCGTTCAAAAGAGAACCTCTATCCAGTTTGTCCCCATGCTGTGCAATATTTTATAAACCCATGCCGGACCGAATGAGGTGCCCCTGTTGATAATAACTGCTTGGTTGTTCTTGGAATTTGTATCCTCTCTCCTGTCTTTCGTCTTAATGTTGCAACGTGAGTTGTCAAACTGCCTCACCAAACTACCTCTCGTTCGAAGAGATGTTTTCCTCAGGCTGTTCAGCAAGTTATAAAGTGGTGGAAAATGTGAGCATGCGATAAGGGCTTGCAAAATCGAGTTGAAGTAGCAGTTATTGCCTTGATTAAGCAGATTCTTTGGCTGTAAACTTACTGCCCTACTGTCAATCGTGTATGTAGATAGAAACTCGTCCATGTTGTAACAGTCAGGAATCACAAACTGGTCGAAACTTTTTGAGTTCTTGAAGAGGCACATGCGGAGATTATTTTTGTACTTATTTTCGGCGGCCTGGCCAGAAGCGACTTTGTCGAAACTGCTGACGGATTTAGACGACACATCGGCATCAACAGATTTATATAGACTTGTCCTCGACACGTCTGCGTGCGACAGAGATGGGGTTCGTTATTCCACTTCCGTTGAAATCAGTTCTTTTGGGGACTGTGCGGGTTCAGCCAGAGGACCAATTTCAGCCTCATTTAGAATTACCTTCTGCTCTTCTGTCACGCATGACTGTTTGGCTACGAGTCTTCCACCACACTGCACATCTCCGGGCCTCGCACTGTCTGTAGATATTCACACTTACTGATGTTGTTCGGGTAACCGTGCATCGCAGGATTTCATTGCACAAAACATGAGGCTTGGATAGCGGCATTGGAGATAGAGCATTTTAATGAATAACTATCAACTGGAGATGAAGATTGGATAGGATTGGCTGTACCATCATAGGCGGATGCTGATATATTTACTTAGTGTTCTGAAATAAATAAATGTACCTAAATATAAAGCTGTATTTCCCCTTTGAACCAGACTACTCATTTTTTGAATCGAAAAAGATGTAGCTCTAGAATTATCTTTCTCTTTGGAGATCCTTATGAGGATACTCCAATGCTTCAATGCTATTAAGACTCAGGCACATCTTATTGTATATAAGCCTTGCCCCTCTGTTAGACCTCTGGGGGGTCAACCGTTATAATGTCTATTACTCATGGGAACAACATGGTAAATAATAATTGAAGTAAAATAAACAAAAACAAAACGGAAACTGCTACATAATGAAAAAGAAAGCTCATAAAGGCAAAAGGAGTTATTGAGGATTCAGATTGCAACACATTTTCAGGAAATGAACCTTGTAATACTCAGCCACTGAATGAACTAAACAGAATAAGAAGAATTGAGTAACGGAATTAGAAACTGAAAACTTGAAAATAATATAAGTGAAAAAATCATCTTAATCGGTTTTATTTGAAAAAAAAAGATGATAATGATGTAGTAATGTACTAAAAACTAATTCGGGAGGTTCCAGATAGCAGTCATCACACCACTCTCCTCAGCAAACTATTGATCAGATAAGAAAATAATAAAATCGTTGAGTAAATATGAAAATACTAGACCCAATCAATACCACTCACCTCAATTGCTGAGGCGAGTGGTGTGATGACTGCTACCTAGGACCTTCCTAATTATTTTTTAGTTTTCAGTGCATCATCTACATCATTATTATTTTTTTCCAATAAAACCGTTCAACATAAAATTTTTCTTTTACTTTTTTCTGGCAAATCGCAAATCATTTGAAAAATCACAAAAGACATTTGAATTCATTCCGGCTAGTAGAGCATGTGCAAGAAAATTGATGAGGTTTTCTTTAGTGACAAATCACTTTGATTAATCGTACGTGCCTGGTCAACGAACCGTGATAGTTACAATGTAAACTGAATCTTCAAGTGAACAGTTTTTTACCTTTCATTTGAGCTCCTGAATATTGGCGTATCTAATTCCGATGACCCGTGATGAAGTGTGACATACTGAGTTCCAACCGATATCAATACAAGCAATATTTTCTCATTTCATGTCTTCATACAGGATTTTCAATTCACGACACGACATTTCATACCTGAGAGAATATCAAATCAAGTTTGTTTTTAATATAATATACAATTTATTGTACAACGTAGTTATTATCTTTCAATTTTCTTCAATGAGTGATTTTCACCTAGGCATTGGAATGTCTATATTGTGTTATATTACTCATCCAGATAAGAGTTCTATATGTGCATTATATGATAATGATATAAAAGATTTGGGAAGCACTTATTAGAATGAATGAGTCGAAGAGTTTTGATTGAATAAAACTGGCAGATACTTGATGAAAATCCATATTAAAAAACTAATCAATACAGTTTATTGTATGATTTTCACTAAAAGGGTTTTACAAAAACCGCGACACGTGTTTCGCTATACAATAGCTTCCTCAGGCATAAACTGAGAGTTACTTACTTACTCGTCTGCCTAATTAATCTACTCTACTCGAAAAGGTCAGGTATGAATTCATTAACAAAATCAATAAATGTTTCGAAAGTATACCTGTAAATATACACAACTATTTCCACCTGCAAATGAACAGATTCAATAATGGTGAATTATTCAATTCAGTTTGATCGTTCATAAGGTGTTTATGAATTTGTTTATTTCCATACCCTCCAACAGGTTGAGTTTCAAACCTTTCTTCTGGAAATAGAGGGGCTTGTATTGATGACTGAACTCATGTCCCTCTGTGATTAAATGAGTGGCATATGAGAAATTTATTTTTCCATTCCGGAAAGTATATTTGTGTTCCTTTATGCGTGCTTTGAATGTTCTTCCAGTTTGACCTATATAAAACACTCCTGATATTTCTTAAACTGAACTTTTATCTTTGTTATTCATAAACTTCTTTCAAAGCTTGACTGCATAACTTTTTTGATAATGAAGAATGTATTAGACCGCTATCGTAATCATTATTGACGGCTATTTGCCTTATTATATTCAGTTCTTTATTGTCTGTGGATTATACTGTTGAAAGCTGCTACCTTATGCTGATATGGGTGAGTGGACGAATTATGAATGATAATATCTGTATGTGCCGGTTTACGATAAATTGAAAAATCATGTCTGTTGTTAACTTTTGTTATTGTCAAATCCAAAAAATTTATAGAGTCGTGGAGGAGTGTGGAGAGAATTGATGAACTTCAAAAAGTTAGTCGACTCTCATGAGCAACAGGAACAGGAACGACCAGACCTTAGGGCCGGGACTTTTTAGCCCAGGTTACACCAGTATTTCAAATTATAATAACCTGATGATTGATAATGTCACATTTTAGGAACAAAGTCCTTCAATTGGATATGTTTACGCATCAACTTCACTTGAAATATCGAATTAATTACCAATTTCAACATTAGGAAATAAGAAGGAAACTTGTTCAATTCCATTTGGTCATTGGATAGATGAAAACATTTCAAAAGGTCGATTTTTAAACATTTTGGGATTTCCATTAGTTGGTGTCTGAATTCCGTCTATAATTTCAATAGAGATAGAAAAACTAATTGGATAGTGACAATGATAATAACAATAATATTTATTCAGTAATAGATGCATGTGATTGGCTGTATGACAACAATTTAGGAGCGACATATTTTTCCAGCAATTTTATTGCAGTCATCTAAAGTTTCGAAATTGTTATTGGTTGCTTTGCATCCACCGTAAATAAATTGTTCGCATCCCTTCTCAGCATTATTCCAGAAGTAACGAATAATATATGCCTCGCAGACATATCCGGGTTTTGTATGGGGTTGGTCACAATCTGAAAAAGAAAAAAGATGCGTAAGGTGCATATCGAATGTTATAATAATCATGGTTATTTTAGATTTCCATCATACGTAGAGATATACGTATTTAAGACACCTATAATAAGAAATTTATTCATTTATTCATACAACAGGAAAACGCAGTTCATAACATTATAGAATGATAGCAAAATAAATAAAAAACATGATTGACACATAAATATATTTGACTAGCTTTTATCTGGGGCTTCGCTCACATTTATGCCTTTAAATAAGTGTCAGTACAATAGAAATGAATCAATCTGAGAAATATATTTTAATGCTTGGTTGGGATTATCAATTTTTAAAAATGATTACATACGATGAAGTTTCGAAAATTATATTGATCCAGTCATTTAAGCTTAAATTAGGTAAGAATCTCGGAATTCGAGACACCCAGCTGTAAGTCTGTATATACTTGTATATTGACACCCTAAAAGTTGTCTCAAAATCTACATATGGTAGGGTGTAAGCAACTATTAAATTTCAAGGTCAAAGGTCACAAAAATCGGTTTTTTGCGCTTTTTTTGACTGAATTACCTATTTTAATTTGATGTTTTGTGTATTCATATTATTGAATATCAATATAGTATAATTTTTAGTAGTTTTGCACTAAAAACTCTGAAAATTATTTTACTCTTCAAAAAAATTCACCGTGGGTAACACGTGGTTCTGTAATTCGTAATATTACAGGCCTTTAAAATGAACCGTCGTTTACAGGATGCTGTATATTTATCGTTTTGATGAATTTTTTTTCGTAGTCCCCATTTAAAAAAATGGGTAAAAAAATAAAACATCGCTTGGATGGCCATGACTCCAAATCTAGATGTATTTTTTAATGCTGAACAACTTTTTTACGTATTTTGATTTCTGTCAGAGTTGATACATGGGATGTTTCCTTCCCGCTTGTGGCTTTGTTCACGCGATGGAGCTGTTACCAGTTGATAATTTTTCTCTTAGACGAAGGTTTCATACATGTAGTCGATCCGTGTTGAAATTAATCGAGCCCTAGGCACACCGCTTGTTTGGGTCATGTCTAACCCTGCAATGATGAAACTGAAACCGGTCTGTAGGTGATCTACTGGACTAATTTTAGCATGTTCTTGTTACTGGTTGAACGAAAAGCTTCTGCGAGACTGATTCTGTGACGTATCATGCACGCATGTCTGTCGGATATAATTCAATACACAGGTCGGTATTAACCAGGGAAGTATTTGTTTTCCGGCAGGAATTACTAGAACCCGATGTAGGTACTATGGAGGTGTAGTTTTTGAAATTACTATGGATCTTCATCAAGTAACAGCCGAATCAATCAGAAAAAAAAATACGAATTTATATTTCTCAGATAAATTAGAAAATTCATTGGCGCAACAGCATTCTTTGAACAACGAGATCAAAAACCTGGTGAATATCTCTAGGAACCCTTGTTTGGAAATGAGTTCCAACAAGTCATTTTGTAATATGATGACTAAAATTGTGGAACCTTTGGCGTTAAAATAATCTGTCAACAACACTGCTCTCTTCACAAGAACATAAATTATATCTCTTGACGCTTTTTTCGGTAACTAAGTTAGCATCATCAGGAGATGACTAAAACTACTCCTTACAAGTTATATTGATGTTTTAGTTATGACCAAAACATTGACAGAGCTTGTTAGGAGTAGTTCAATTCTGAAGATTGCCAGAGGACTATAGGTAGTATCGAAATATATATTTTAATTAGGGCCTCGGTATTTTGTGATGTGCATGGTGTAATATTCATCTTGAGAAGGAAAAAAACATCAACAGTGTATTTTATATAGCGTTTTCGGAGGCTGAAATTGCAAAAACCAACCGCATATGGCGAAAAAAATTAGTTTCATCAAAACAACGTACCGTGTCACAAATCAATCAAAACAACGGCAAAACTACATGAATTGAACTTCGAATCGCTCCCACATCCACCGTATTCGCCAGATTTGGTTCCTAGCGACTACTAGTTGTTCGCAGAACTCGAAAAAATGCTCACTGCTGAAAAATTTTGCTCGAATGAAGAGGTTATTGCTGAAACTTAGGCCTATAACGAAGCAAAATATAAATCATTCCACCAAAGTGGTTTTGAGATGTTAGAGTGGCGCTGGAATGATTGTGTGACTCTCGATGGAGAATACGTTAAAAGTGTCCAATTTGGCCTACTCTGTACTAGTTATTTCCTGGTATTGATCGTCAGGTATTACATACCTGACGATTAATATTTGATGGTTTTCCGTATATTTTCATTTTGATAATAGAAGCACAACACATTTTGTTATCATATATAAATGGATGTTTGTTGGTTGGTTGGTAAGTGATAAACTTCTACATCGCTCAACCGATCGTGATGAAACTTGACATGTATAAGTAATTTTCCATAGATAAGGTTTTTAGGCTATCAATTTTTCTGTAACTCGCCACTAGATGGCGCTGTAGAACAGTTTATTGAAAGCACTGTTCTATAACGCTGCGCACGCCTAAGTTCGTTGATTCTGATTCTGTCAGCGATACAGCAACATATAGTACTAGTCTTTTATATAAATAGAAATATAAGTAGAAAATATAGACATTCGGTTAGGAGGAACAGCTCTGGAGAGATAATGTGAAACTTTTGGGTATAACTATGCATGAAACCTATGCTTGGGAAGTACATTTTAGTTACAAGATATATTCACGAAGCCTCTTGGAAACTTGAAGTTCTCATCTCTTATTTTTTTTGTTTTAAAAATGTAATAATCAGGAGAAGGTATTGAGAATGATTATTACATATTTTTAGTTAGATACCATGTATAGAATAATAGTTGAATAGTTAGAAACGTCAATAGTTATGTGACAAGGTCCAAAAATATAGTTTTTCAGTTGATCTTCATTGTGTTTATAAAAGGAAAACTGTATAACCGAATATATCCCATGGTATACTGTTGTGTAAAACGTTCAATTCAGCAAACACATTATTCATTTGAAACAAACACTTTTTCCAAAATTGTCTACAATCTTAGAGTTGTTCATGTTCATGTATCTCAGCCAGGACTCTTGCGCTTTTCCGCTGTCGCTCAATTTTTCGTCAATCTCCGTAAATATAGGTTTAGGTTTCTCAGTAATTCCATTGAGGTCCTCATGTGAAAGATATCGAAGAAATTCCTGGGCGTCTTGATGGAAAGATCCCATGAATCGAGGGGTAAATCTTTGAATCTGACGTTTAAAGTAGGCAGTGTTTATTACTCTATCAGATGAAACTTCTGACCATAATTCCTTGATAACTTCTGCGAACGCTTTGAATAAAGCACCTTCATACTAGAATGCTAGATGATGTTGAAGTAGCTAGATTTTGGGATTTTTTTCACAAACAATTTTTTTATATTAAATAATTTTTTTTTTTCAATAAAAAGTATTCTATGTTACTTCTGTTACCTTCAGAACATGCGTACAAAATTTCATGATGATAGGTTGAGTAGTTTTCGCGTTAAACCGTAACAAAAAAACTTACATTCGCAATTATAATATTAGTAGGAATAGAAGGGATGACTTGTAACACAAATATTAGGTTTTTTCAAAAGTTTTGTCCGTTTTTACGAGTCCATTCAAACTGTAATATCTATAATAATAATAATGATATTTATTGGCAAATATACATGTTTTAATGTCACAAGTTCTACGAGGCAATTTCCGAATAAATATAGAAATCCCACAGAAGGATATACTTATGCGTGGGTTCTGCAGACATTGGAATACTAATAATACAATTTCAAAATTTAAAATATAAAATGGTATAAGTAAATAAATAAAAGGTAAGACGTTTTAACAATATCAGACATATTATTTTAATTATATCTTCAAACTTTCTCTATGAACATGTGAATCAATCTGGGGAGTATGATGGGAAGTTTCGATAGTAAATGCAGCCTAAAACGATAACGATGAAATAAAAAAGTGTAAAAAATGTTTTCTTGAAGGTGCAGGAAGTGATTTTGTATTGAATACTAGGAAAATATACTAGATATGTCACCAACTTAAAACTAACAAATAGAAAGGTTAGAACCATTTCAATAATTTAACTTTTGTACTTATAAAACTGTTAAAAACATTGTTTGTGTTTCAAAGATTGATATTTTTACTGTGAATAACATTTCATTGACAAATATATAGCCTATTATTAGCAAAATTCAAGCGCGCTACTCACTTATTGATGTTTTAGAAAAAAATTATTGATTTTACAAAAATTCACTCTGTCGATGTATATATTTTCTAGCCGCACACTCAGGTAGTTCTAAATAATATAATCTATGCACTTTTCAGCTATAAATATCACTATATGTGCGGTATTTCATATTGTTATCATTTTAAAATGGCGTCGTTCTAAATTAGTTGGTATTTTAGCTACTATGTTACTATTATGAAACTGTTGCGGAACACTTAGTTCTAGGAGTGGATGGCATTGCGGTAGATTAGGATTACGTTTAAAGTTGTAGATTCCTAGAATAGTGCTTGAATCAAGATAGGATTTTTCACGTAAAGTTTGAATAAATGTTATCCATCGAGATGTTTTGGCAAGAAGCTTCTTTCATCGAATATAAAGGCCAAATTTCGGAAGAGTTTAGAGTTAGCGATTTGAGAGTACCTATATATACATGGTGCTGCACTTAAATCGATGGATTTTATTCATTAATAACCTTTTCCTGTTTTTCGCAAGAGAATAATTGAAGCACTAAGTTACGTGGGGGAGTTTAAAGTGCTTTGTTAGTGTTTCCCTAATACAGGGTGACTCAAAAAGCTTGTGAATTGAATAATTAGAAATAAATTAAAATTGAGAGATTTCAAGCCAAGTTATTTCAAGACGCACTTGTATGGACTACCCAAAATCCACTCAAACCGATCATTAGCTCCAGAGATTCAGCTACTTAAAACTTCTTCAGATTTTTACTGCCAACAATACAACCATTACAAGGAGAAACTTCATTTTTTGCGAAGAATTCAAGGCATTTTCTCAAATGAATATGGGCAATCGGAGTCACAGAGCAAGATGAACTAATCAGTTTTGACGTGGAAAGCCTTTACACCAACGTTCTTGTCGAAGAAGCACTTCAAATCATACAGCGGAAGCTATCCGAAGATATGAAAGATAGAATGAACTTACCTATAGAAGTAATCATAGAATTATTAGGATGCTGTGTATGAAGCTGCTATATCCAACTGAAGGACGAATTTTTCACACGAGATGAAGAAAAGCCAATGGTATCGCTACTTTCACCAGTTATAGCCAACATATATATGGAGTGATTTGAAACTCTGGCCATCGAAGAAGCCCACAAAAAGCCCCGAGTCTGGTTGAGATATGTTGATGACACCTTCATAATATGAAACCATGGGAATACAGAACTAGACACCTTTCTGAAGATCATCAACAGCGTAAGACATTTCATCACTTGCACAATGGAGAAGGAAGTCCACAACGAATTGCCATTCTTAGACGTATTGGTGAAGAGGACCAACACTAAGTGGGAAACATCTATTTACCGAAAACCCACTCACACGGAACATTATCTGAATCACGAATCCAACCACCACTAATCTACCGAAAGAGGAATCATCAAGACTTTTAGTGAATCGTGCTGTCGGGCTCTGTAATACGAAGGATGGTCTCGAGAAGGAAGGCATCATCAAATATGATCTCCAAAGTGTTGGTAGAACAAGCAGACTTTGGCTAAAAGACAGCAAGAGACTCGCGAGGAAGAGAAGTCGTCACAACCAGTACTTGCACTTCCCTACATCAGAGGATTGTCGGAGAGGATGATAAAAATTGGGTCTAAGTACAACATCAGAACCTGCTTCAGATCCGGAAACACTATCCGTAGCAGCCTTACAAAAACCAGACCACCAAACGCGGGCTGCGATTCCAAGAATTGCATTTACCGAATACCCTGCGAGTGCGGAAAAAATTATTACGGTTAAACTAAGATGCCATTGAAAGTCCGCATTGCCGAGCACAAAAAACACAGACAGCGAAAGAAAACCAGCAAATCGGAAATAGTAAAGCATCAACTTAATATTAAGTGGTTCCAAGTTGAGATTACTCACAAGGAAGAACACTGGTTTAGAAGGAAATTCAAAGAAGCCACATATATGTTGTCCAACAACGCATTCAGCTAAGCTAGCGTAGAGATATGCAACATATGGAAACCCATAATGAAGCGGAAAACGGCCAACCCCCGCTAAAAAGGTCAGCTACCGCTAATTCTAAATTATTGTTATTATTAAAAATTTTAATTCTCACCTGATCTAGTGAATTCGGCCAACACTTGGTAGAGTAAGAAAGTATATATAAAAAAACATATATATTTGAACATCGCCATCATTAGATTCAATAATGAAAACAAGAATACACTTGCTTCTCAAACTATCGATGAGTAAATGAAGATGTTAGGATTAATCGGGTTCAAATTTCATTCGATATCAGGCATACGTAATTCTATTTCTGGGTATGCTACATAATCTTGTTTGTGAAATACCTACTTTTTTTTCGTTTTTATGATTTTATTACCGGTAATAACACCAGGAATATTGGAGGTTTCGCCTCAGAATGAGAGATAATCAGTTATAAACTTTATAACCTTTATTTTCAAACCCCAAAACTTGTCTTAAAACCTACTTATCGTAGATGTTCGCGATATTACAGATATTAGAAAGTCAAAGGTCAAAAAATCGATTTTTTACACATTTATTGCAAATATTTCGTTTCCTATGCGTTTTATACAACGTACACTTCAACGATATAGAAATACAAACACTTGAACTAGGTCCAAAATTCAGTCCATACCAGAAAATCACACCACAAACCATTGAGAACCTAATAGTTGACACAGAGATGGCTTTAAACCAAGTAGAAGCATCAAAAGTAGACGAATTCAGATCAGAAGCAATCAACACGCTGAAACAAATAGTCATAAAACCAGAAAAGATTCCAGAGAAACCAGCAATCATGAAATCCATCAAATCAATAAAAAGGAAATTGATCTCTAACAACCTCACAGCAGTTAAAGCCGACAAAAGTGACGCCACAGTTATTATTGAAAAACAGGAATTAAGTATGAAAGTGAACAATTACATAACGGAAAATGATTTTAGTACGATGAATCACTATCCAACCACAAAATTTGAAAGACAAATTAATAGCCTAATGAAATTCAACAAACAGATCTTCAACAAAAAAACATCGAACAGATACAAAGTCGACAACCCAAAAGCATCAAAACGCAACGCACAGATAAAGATACATAAGGAAAATAAACCTATAGGACCGGTTATCAATTTTACTAAAGCACCTTCATACAAAATTTCAAAAATCATAGCCGATGAACTGAAAAACAAAATCAACAGGAACAACAACCACAGCGTCAAAAATTCAATGGAACTCACAGACGGAATCTCAAAGACAAAGGTCAGCCCGAACTATTCTCATTTGACATAAAAAACATGTACTCCAACATACCAGTCAACGAAATTATAAACATCATATCTGATAAACTAAAACACCAAAACATAGACAAAACCTACATTAACCAGATGGAACACAGTCTAAATACAATACTCAATCAAAATTTATGGAATCTGAAGGAATTTATAAACAAACAGATGGACTAGCGATGGGATCCCCACTATCTAGCATTATATACGAAATATACCTGAAAACCATAGATGAGAAAATCTTAACAATAATAAAAACACACGATGAAAGAGAAGAATGGTTCAGATACGTTGAGGTTGTACTGTACATATCACAAAACAATGAAATAAGAATAGATCAAATAACAAAAGAAATTGAACGAAATAAATCAAAAACTATTTTTCAGCATTGAGGAAGAAAACAATTCAAAACTCAACTACCTGGACATAACCATCGGATATAACCACAACAAAATACAATTTCAAATGGCAATATACAGGAAACCTACAAAAACAAGCTCCACCATACCCGCAAGTTCACACCATCCACCATCACAAAAAATGGCTGTCTATAACGCATTCATATATAGAATGTTAAGGATATCACTCAGCAATGAAGCCCGAAACAAAGAACGGAAAATCATATACCAAATAGCGAACGGAAACGGATACAACCAAAAGACAATGGATAAACTAGAAAACAGAATCAAACAAAAAATACAGAACATGGATCAAGCCGACCCAACAGACAAAACAACGCAACGATGGAGAACATTTACGTACGTAGGACACCAAACCAACAAACTAACATGCCGTTCCCCTATGATTTCTCCTATGGACTTGTTTTATGAGTTTAATGTTCTCAGGCGTTCGGACCGTATAAAAAGACACACAACAGGATTAAGCAATGAAGCCCGAAACAAAGAACGGAAAATCATATACCAAATAGCGAACGAAAACGGATACATCCAAAAGACAATATATAAATTAGAAAACAGAATCAAACAAAAAATACAGAACAAGGATCAAGCCGACCCAACAGATAAAACATCACAACGATGGACAGCATTTACGTACGTAGGACACCAAACCAAAAAACTAACAAACATCTTCAAGCCATTGAACATCAACAACAAATACAAGCCAAACACGAAAATAAGACAAAAAATAAACAGCTATGAAAAAGAAGAAGACAAAATCCAAAACGGGATATATAGTATACAATGCTTGGACTGCAATAAATTCTATAACGGCCAAACCAAGAAAAAACTGATCCAAAGGTACGATGAGCACAAAAAGGCATACATAAACCCAATAGTATATAAATCAAACCTCGCAACACACGCCATACAAAACAAACAATCAAACTCGAAATTTCGAGTTAAAAGTCCAAATTTTGAGTTCAAAATCATAATATAGGAGTTGAAGTCGAAATTTCGTGTTTGAAGTCGTTATTCCGGGATTTGGAAATCAAAGTCGGAATTTTGGGTTCGAAATCGTAAAATAGGGATTGGAGTCGAAATTTCGAGCTAAAAGTCATTATTTCGAAATTGAAATCGAAATTTCATTCGAAGTGGCGAGTTTGAAGTGGGTATTTCGGAATTAAAGTAAACATTTTGAAATCAAACTTGGAATTTCCGTAATAGATCACATTTACTTTTGTAACTGAATGTGATCTATTAAAATTTGTGCGTTCCCATTTCGGAAAATGTTAGGGATGCAGTTGAATTGTGGAGAAGTTTGATAATTCAAAGAGAGGTATAACATACTTGAATTTGAAACGTTTATTCATATCGTTGTCAATTTTTCTGAGAAAAATGAAAATCAATATTTAAAGACTTCGACATATAACTCCAGCCGTCCTTTCACATTCTTCTAAGGTCTTAAAGTTGTTTTCGGTTGCTCTGCATCCACCGTAAATAACTTCTTCACATTTTTTGAGAGAATTATTCCAGTGATAACGAACAGTGTAAGCATCGCAGCTTATTCCGGCAATTGTATGAGGTTTATCACAATCTAGAACAGAAAAAAATGCTGAGAATGGTTAGAATACCAATATTTCTCAGGATGAAAGGTGGTAGTTGGGAGGTTATATGAAAATTCCTAATCCTAAGAGTGTTGATTCGGCGTTGATCTCTGCCAATTAATCAGATTCATCAGCATAATGTCACGATTTTCCAATGAACGTGAGAATCATAAGAATGTACAAGATAATTCGAATGTGCTATGTATGAGAGAGACTCGAGTGATCATGCGAAATGACTATGGTAATTACAAATTGCAGTAGATAATTACAAATTACACTAGAAATATTGTAATTTTGAGTTCAATTATAATCAAATTTCAATGAGCTTATTATTTATTTCATAGGAACCCACACATGTATAGTCGAAGTAACCGATGTAGTAATTCTTGAAGCTATCCGGGAACTCAAAGGCCAAAAAAACCAATACAAAGAAATAATGCCGCTACTACTAAGTCCATGTGGACTGAAAAATTGGCGGTTCGTATTGGATAATTTTTACTAAACGAGTTTCATTATTGGCTGGAGAGTCATAAAATTAAATTTAAAGTCATGTTACGGTAACCAATAGAATGTGAGGATGGTTAGAAGAGTCCTGTTGTCAATGTTCAGTTCAGGAACTGATCGCGATTTGAGTGTTGATATTCGATATTGGTGAAGTTATAATTACTTACAATTTTTGTTATTTGTTTAAAATGTGGCGTCTTTAGACAAGTACTAATAGTAATAATGAGTGTGACAACAACGCAGACTTTTTCCAATAGCACTGGTGAACAATGCGAAAAAGAGATACCAGTGAACAAAAATAGTCAAAAACAAACCTTATGAACGCAAAACGCGATTTGATGCGGGATTACCAAAACCTTTAGATGTTCATCTAATAAAATCATTAAAAAAAAACAATATACGACTGTTACAAAAGCAATGAGATTCCTACAACTGAAATCATAAGGAAGAAATTGAATACTTCCGGCCATAACGTGAGCTGCTGTGACAAAACTCTTCAGAATTAGATAAAGAAACTAGGATTTAGATTTGAAATAATAAACAAACGTCAAGCAGTTATGGAAAGCAGAAGAATAGTGGATATACGTAACAAATACTTAGAATAAATAACTAAATATAGACAAAAACAACAGCGAATTTTCTATTTGTACTAAACTTGGTATGCCACTCACGGCACAGTTACGAAAGGGTGGACTGATGGTTCGAGGCTGTGTACGCCTAACATGTCTGCAATCAAAGGATCGCGACTAATCATTTTGCATTACGGAGGAATTGAAGGATGCGTTCCGAATTCTTTGAAATTATATGGAAAAAAACTTGAGGACTGTAATGTTTACTGTTAAAAGAACGTGGAAGCTAATATTTTTGAGGAATGGTTTGAAAACACATTGATCCCAAATTTGGATGCGAATAGTGTAATAGTTCTTGACAACGCTTCCTCTTATTTTCGACAGCTCATCAAAGTACCGAATTCGAGAAAAGATGAAATACAAAGTTGTTTAATGGATAATAATTTGTATTTTGAAGATAACTATACCAAAAGCCAACAAAAACATTTGAAAAAGTGTATGCCATTGAGAGTATTGCTGAAAAGTATGGTCACACCATATTGAGACTTCCCCCTGTTTTTGTGTTTTCAATCCCATCGAGTTGATTTGAAGAAAATTGAAACAAAGTATCAGGCGTAAAAATGTTTTTCCAAAGTTTGATAAGAAGGTGAAATCAAACTCGAAATTTCGAGTTAAAAGTCCAAATTTTGAGTTCAAAATCATAATATAGGAGTTGAAGTCGAAATTTCGTGTTTGAAGTCGTTATTCCGGGATTTGGAAATCAAAGTCGGAATTTTGGGTTCGAAATCGTAAAATAGGGATTGGAGTCGAAATTTCGAGCTAAAAGTCATTATTTCGAAATTGAAATCGAAATTTCATTCGAAGTGGCGAGTTTGAAGTGGGTATTTCGGAATTAAAGTAAACATTTTGAAATCAAACTTGGAATTTCCGTAATAGATCACATTTACTTTTGTAACTGAATGTGATCTATTAAAATTTGTGCGTTCCCATTTCGGAAAATGTTAGGGATGCAGTTGAATTGTGGAGAAGTTTGATAATTCAAAGAGAGGTATAACATACTTGAATTTGAAACGTTTATTCATATCGCATAGGTTTGAAAAAACGTGATCACTTTTCATTCCATATCACTTTTGTTGTCAATTATTCTGACAAAAATGAAAATCAATATTTAAAGACTTCGACATATAACTCCAGCCGTCCTTTCACATTCTTGTAAGGTCTTAAAGTTGTTTTCGGTTGCTCTGCATCCACCGTAAATAACTTCTTCACATTTTTTGAGAGAATTATTCCAGTGATAACGAACAGTGTAAGCATCGCAGCTTATTCCGGCAATTGTATGAGGTTTATCGCAATCTAGAACATGAGAATGGTTAGAATATCAACATTTCTCAGGATGAAAGGTGGTAGTTAGGAGGTTATATGAAAATTCCTAATCCTAAGAGTGTTAATTCGGCGTTGATCTCTGCCAATCAATCAGATTCATCAGCATAATGTCACGATTTTCCAATGAACGTGAGAATCATAAGAATGTAGAAGATAATTCGTATGTGCTATATATGAGAGAGACTCGAGTGAGCATGCGAAATGACTACGGTAATTACAAATTGCAGTAGATAATTACAAATTACACTAGGAATATTGTAATTTTGAGTGCAATAAAAATCAAATTTGACTGAGCTTATCATTTATTTCATAAGAACTCACACATGTATAGTCGAAGTAACCGATATAGTAATTCTTAAAGCTATCCGGGAACTTAAAGGCCAAAAATATCAATACAAAGAAATAATGCCGTTACTACTTAGTCCTTGTGGACTGAAAAATTGGCGGTTTGTATTGGATAATTTTTACTAACCGAGTTTCATGATTGGCTGGAGAGTCATAAAATTAAATTTGAAGTCATGTTACGATGACCAATAGAATGTGAGGATGGTTAGAAGAGTCGTGTTGTCAATGTTCAGTTCAGGAACTGATCACGATTTGAGTGTTGAAATTCGATACCTATTGGTGAAGTTATAATTACTTAAAATGTTTGTTATTTGTTTAAAATGTGGCGTCCTTGGACAAGTACTAATAGTGATAACTAGTGTGATAACAACGCAGACTTTTTCCTGTGCAGTGATTTCAATAGCGCTGGTGAACGATGCAAAAAAGAGATACCAGTGAAACACAGAGAGTATGTTTCAATGTATAAACGAATCTACATATCAAGTTTGGTTTCGAGGGAAAAAACTATTACAAGCAACATCAGAATTGATCGGAATTCCTTTCTCAACTGTACGTGGAATAGTCAAAAACAAACCTTATGAACGCAAGATGTGATTACCAAAACCTTTAGGTGCTCATCTGATAACACGATGGAAAGTTTAAATTCTATAATTGCAAGAGTGATAATGGATATAGAATATTGTTTTTCTGAAAATCAGATAGGAGATATATTCACCAAGATAGATTTCAATTTAAGAACAACCGGTAGACAGCTGTTTCAGCCTATCAGGAATCGTTAGTACCGGGCAGGCGGTCCTCGATTTTGAAGACAAAATGAGAAAAAACCAAGAGAGTACTTTATAAAAATAGCTGCGTTAACGCAAGCAAAGACAAAATGTGAATAGCCAAGAAAAGTACTTAATGAAATAATATAGTTATTGTGATTCTTATATAATCAAAAATGATTATTGAACTCCCTAACTATTTTATTAAAGGGGAACTGCTGAAAGATAGGGGGCACTATATCGTTTACTTGAACTATACGTAATATTGGTGGCAATGTGAGGACGAAACAATTTCTTTGTAAGCCTGGCCACACCAAAAAAACTTTATGTGTCGAAAATCATATCGATTATGAAAGTACTTGGTACATATAATCAAAGAGTAAGTTATCACTTTCTATAGATGAACGATATTTGGGAAGTATTATAGAATATCTTTATTAACGAAATATAACCCAAAACAATTATTCTCCAAAATCTTCGTCGATTTGTCTGTGGGTTTGTGCGAGATAATTTCGAAAACGATCTGATGGATTCCACCCAGTTTTTTGCTTATGTATGTGATACACTTCACTTAATATTTTGTGTTTGATTTATTTCAGTTGATTCATAATTGAAAAAGTGATGACCATTCTAAAAATCACGTTACACATCACCTTATTCGATAATCCTCACACTAAAACTATTCATGATATTGATTACAAATCTTCCAATAAACGTTTCACTACAGTAGTTTCCTCAATTGGCCTACAACCATATGGTTATCCTCGTCAAGGGGATCAACCACGACAAAGATATTTTTTAGGGCGAGGAGTGATTTTCCAGAGGAAGGAGCTTTTCCGGGCCAAGGACCATTCGATGAACAATCTGAGGAAAGAAATTACGTAGTCATCCCCAGAGAACCAGATAAAGGGTACCCCACCCTGTTTAACATTCCCAAGACATCTTTCTAGTGCGACTAACAGCAATACTCAGGTTACTACGTCGTTGTTGAAACGAAATGTCAAGTATTTCAATAACATAACTATTTCCTCTGCCTTAATGGAACCATCTTTCATCAAGAGTATCAGGTGTACGCCTGGTGGAACCAATTCAACTACAACCTAGAATCGTCTTCATTTGGAATAAACGTCAACATATATGGCTATTCCATTGTCTGGGCCCAACAGGCACATGGTGATTATCAACCAGGACCTCTACAGGATCAATTTGAGAAACTGGGATGGAACAAGGACTTGAAGCACCTGATGAAGACTATCCTGGGGGTAGACCACAAATGCCTGAAGTTTCTGATAAAGAACTACAAGCTTCAGGTGAATACTTCAGCAATGATACATCAACAAGTCCAGTGGGCGACATAGGATTTTCGGGAGGCAGACCACAATTCCAAAATCAAAGTTATGAGCCTGGATACCCAGAAAAAAGACCGCAAAGACTCGGTACCAACGGAGCACAAGAACTTCCATTACTGCTGGCTATCCCTCTTGTGTAGAGCGCAGGGTGGCTATACCAGTGGAAGACCAAAATAAGAAACGGGAGGATACCCAGATCAGACAGGATTTTCAATTTAGCAACAGAGACTTGAAACGGGAACACAAGCTGGCTACCCTGACGAACGTCTCAAGGTTCATAGTTCTCCATCTTTGAGTCAAGGTAGTGAACCGCAGAGATCCACAGGTTCGTAGGGGTAAGGGGGTAATCCGAGTGGAGCAAACGGTGCTAGATACCTGTCTGTACAGAGTGGGCCAAATTGGACAAGTTTAAAGGGAAACTCCAGTTTTCAAACTATACAGATGAAAACTGATGGCTGTGTGTGAGGGTCAAATTTTATGCCAAACTCAATAGTGGAAACCGCATATCAATATCTATCATCGTTTCTGAGTTACAGCATGTGTTTCGAAAATGTGCATTTTTGAAAAAATGCTTTAACTTTTTCCTTTTGAAAATATATTGGTTGCTGAAGTCATCTTTGAAATGCAGAGTTTTTAGGTTTTTTCATGTAAACTTTTTTATGCAGTTTTGCCATGTAGACTTTGATCAAGAAGGCTTTAGATAGTGCGGCGATAAAACAGAATGCTGTCAAATTTTGATTTAACCAGTAAAGACGCTTTTTAATTGGTGGTTTTTGTTCAATTTTCAAACACATTCGCAATGAAGTAGGACAATACGGTATATACGGTATATGAGAGTCTGTTTTATACAAACCGGGGAAAATGCAGAAGCAGCAAGCAATTAATCATCTCAGACTAGGTGATTTTAAACGCCGCATGGCTTTTTGCAGTGGTTGCTGGAAAGTTGTAACCAAGTTCGTGATTTTTCGTTGAATTGTATTTGGACAGATGGAGCTTATGTGAACAGTGTTGGCACCTTACAACACTGCAATCATCACCAATTTTTTGTCTGTAAATTTTGGTAATAATGGAATAGCTGACCAAGGACCCAACCGTTGGCCGGCCAGGTCACCAGACGTAGCGCCTATGGACTTCTACTGGGGAAGTGGCAGTTATGCAAAGTTTCGCTCTCACTCCTATTGAACTAAATAATTCGGCAAAAATATTCGGAAAAGGTATCGCCTGTGAGCTGGTAGACATTTCGAACACCTTCTCTGAAGAAATTTATTTCATTGTTATCATTATTATCATTGTTGAAGTTTCATTTATTAGAAGTAAATATAGTATGAATTAATGTCAGTTTTATTGAAACTATGCGTTTTAATTACTGTTGTGAAAAGCTTTCTCAACATTTGATAGCTACTACTACTTGATTAACGTGTGCGTTTCAAAGTCTACATGAAAAAACTAAAAGATATGTATTTCAGCACATTTTAGAAAAATATGCTGTAACTCAGAAACGATGATAGATATCGATATGCGGTTTTCACCATTAAGTTTCTCATAAAATTTGATTCCAGGACGCAGCCATCAGTTTTCATCTATCTACTTTGAAAACAGGAGTTTCCCTTTGAAAGTGTCCAATTTGGCCTACTCTGTACTAGTTATTTCCTGGTATTAATCGTCAGGTATTACATACCTGACGATAAATATTTGATGGTTTTCAGTATATTTTCATTTTGATAATAGAAGCACAACACATTTTGTTATCATATATAAAAAAAGGATGTTTGTTGGGTTGGTATGTGATAAACTTCTACATCGCTCAACCGATGGTGATGAAACTTGACATGTATGAGTAATTTTTCATAGAGAAGGTTTTTAAGCTATCAATTTTTCTGTAACTCGCCACTAGATGGCGCTGTTGAACAATTTTTTGAAAGCACTGTTCTATAACGCTCCGCATGCCTGAGTTCGTTGATTCTGATTCTGTTAAAATATTGGAACAGCAGCGATACAGCAATATAGTACTAGTATTTTATGTAAAGCAAAGATAAGTAGAAAATATAGACATTTGGTTAGGAGTAACAGCTTTGGAGGGATAATGTGAAACTTTTGGGTATAACTGTGCATGATACCCATGATTGGGAAGTACATTTTAGTTACACGATGGAAAGTTTAAATTCTATAATTGCAAGAGTGATAATGGATATAGAATATTGTTTTTCTGAAAATCAGATAGGAGATATATTCACCAAGACTTTCAAATCGGCCCAGTACGTAGTTACATCTGGGGTACCACAAGGTTCTAATCTTGGACCTCTTTTATTTTTAATTTTTATTAATGCTTTGGCAACCTCTTTGAATATTCCTAATTTACTGAATGCAGACGACCTATAACTATATTATAAAATCGACGACATTACAGACTGCAACGTGTACAACACGAATTAGATGTAATCAAACTTTGGTGTAATGATAATCTTCTACAACTCAACGCATTCAAATGCGAAATAATATCATTTACAACAAAAAAGCGAACTTTAATGTACGATTATTCAATCAACAACACTACAATCAATCGCGTACACGAAATATAAGATCTTGGAGTAAATTAACATTTACAACACATATAAGGAATATGACTGCTGATGCAAATAGGATGCTTGGATTCATTTACAGAAATGGCAAAAACTTGCTATATTTGGCGTATACCAGATCTAAGTAAGAGTATGGCTCTGTGTTATGGAATTCAGTTTACGACTACCAAAAAACATACCTTTGGTATAAAATTCCTGCATAAATTACCCAACAACAATATTTACAGTACGGTTCTTTTACCCGAGATCAATTTCTCAGTACCAAGAAGTGAGGGTCGACACAATCTGAAATTTTATTGCGAAGTATCACGCACAAATGTTATGCTACGATCACCACTGCGATATTCATTTCGACTCTCTGAACGCCTTGGTATCATTTATCCACAATCACTTTTAATAATACTATAAATAACATTTGTGTCAGTACTGCTACATTGCATGATTTGTAACTTTTTGTGTTATATCTTATATACAGTGTGTCCAACATAAGGATCCTAAGCATGGGAATCTTAGTACCTGTTGGAGATACAGCTTAGGTTAAATTAGGAGAAAGTTGTGTTCTTTAGAGCTTATTTACATGCCGTTTAGAAACTTGAAGAATTTTCATGGCCTGCTGAGATATTTGGGAAAAACGAGAATTTGACAATATCAATTTTATTTTTTTCTGACTTTATTTGAAAAGATATCAAAAAACGAATAACACTTTTTCATTGGCACTTTTGAGGTACTACCCGATGGTATTTTTAGATTTTATATCCGACGTTTCGTTTTCAAGAAACCATCATCAACTTTATTTTTTATATGACCCGAAACAAAAGTACACCCTGTATCTGATTCCATTTTTTATTACGAATTCAACGATGTATCACATGCCATTGTT